GAACGTGATCGTGATCGAGATCGCGACCGCGATTCCAAACGGTACGCTTTATATATTTATTACGACTTCCATTATATCCATAGAGGTCATGGGTGCTTGGGCCTTCCTTTTTCAAGTCCCTCGCTTTGGTTTTCGCGGTAATGGTAAGAAATGTATACGACTTAATGGACCGAGACGTTTCTTGCCATTAAAATAATTCTTATAATTTACAAATTTTGTAATTCTCATCTCCTACCTTGTTTTACGACTCCTGTTCTTTCATCTGTTGTTAATATACCCTATTTTTTGTTCAATTTCTATTTTAATAAGGTCTAAATTAATTACAGGTATGATGATCATCGTTCATCACGGGATAGCCGAAACGGTAACGATCGAGATCGTGAGTACCGTGATCGAGATCGCGATCGTGATCGTGATCATGATCGCCGACGATACTGATTGCGAGACTGCTATGTGCCACTTTCAAATTTCTTATTTGGATGATCCCCCTGTAGCACACTGTCGATGCCGAGTTAATCTGAAGTTTGACATGGATCACGCTTTCTTTAACTATTATTACTCAATTAACTTGCTTCTCAGATGTAGAAAAATCAGTTGAAAGAGGGCTCTCCTTCTACCGGGGTCTCTCCCGGCACAGTTCGTACTTTCTCAGACTTTACAGAACAATTCCTGTTCTCTCAGGCTGATTCTAGCACGAAGTAACTGCCTTCGTTAGATGGTCATTTCTAACATTCGTCAAAAAATCCTGTGAAAGCGGCTCAAAAAAATCCTTTCAATTAAAGATTTTTTGATTTTCTTTTCATAGGATTTTTTGACTACTCTAAATCCAGATCGCATTTTATCAGTTTCCTAGCTATTTTTTTTATTTTACCGTTTCAGTTCCTCAGTATTTTTTAAATTTTTTTTACGCTGCCACAGTTTTTCTTTCATTTCAACTGAAATATGAAAAGATGGCATGGAAATCATGATATAATTTGACGATTTTCTGCAGTTATAATTTATCAAAAAATTTTTTCCCATGTATATTCCTGTTTGTCGATTTGAAAACCTCAGTATTACTAAGATGCATTTACATCGGATGCAGCTGCAGATCTTAAAAATTTGGATGCAACTACAGATCCTCTTAAAAATTCGAGGCTGCATATCTTCGTTATGCCTGCGCATCATTTTCTTTTTTGGTTAAATTCCTTGGAATTCTTTTTTTTTTTCGATTTTTCAAGCTGTTTTTGGTTATTATTTCGTAACAGGTAGGCGATGGACTCTAATACCTGTTATTCTGCTTTCCCAAAATTCGAATTTGCTTATTTTTGATGCAATTTTGCATGACGATATTTTAAACTGTCTGAATGTCATGGCTGCTTTACTTCTTT